GGAGCTGGCTCCAGCACACCCCTGGATCCAACCCAGTGTCTGTGCTTTTTCTCCTTCCATTAACGACCTCTTGAGACCCTTTCAGCTCTAAAGCAATGATCCTATTCCCTTGACTGCTGTAATGCTGGGCTTTTCCCTCCCCTTAAACACAACTTTTCCCAAAAGGCTGAACAAGGAAGTCCTTTGTGAACTTTGCACTCACCAGATGGTACAGGCGACCAGAACATCCCATTCCCTGAATGTTGTGGGAATTGGCCAAGATTTTCTCCTCTGCCAACCCAAAGTGACAGAGAGTCCCAATGTAACAGTTTTCAGTACATGTAATCCTCTCTTTTCCGCTTCACATTTTTTCCAGTGGCTCCAAAATGGTGCCTAAAATCTTGGCTCCCTCTTCTCTGCAGTTCAGTTTTTTGTTTCTTTAATTTAATTGTATGCCTTATTCAGTGGGAGTCAGGTTTGTAAAAAGTTTGGACTCAGTCAAACAGCAAGGCAGATGAAACTGTTCAGATCTGTTATTTATCATTACAAATTCTACCTACACTAATTCAGGATGGCCCTGAGAGTTCATAGGTTGAGAGCTATGTGACCTCCCAGATTGTCCATTCCAATCTTTTCATTTTATAGGAAATGAGACAATTTCAGAGAAGAGAATGATTTGTCTACAGTCATACAGGAAGTAGATAGCAGGGCCAGGACAGCTCAGCATTTTTTAGTTCAAATTTAGTTCTTTTCCTATTCTACCATGCTGGCTTCCATAAAACACTAGACAAAAAGTATCTCAGTGGGTAGAGTGCCAGGCCTGGAATTAGGAAGACCTGAGTTCAAATCACCTATTACCTAGTGTAATTATTATATATTATATTTTATTTAAAATGTACAGTATATTATATTTTCTATATTATAGTAGTTTGTCAAACATTTATAATATATTTTATTTTATACATTACATTTTATACTTTACTAAGTACTTATATTACAAGTTTTACATGATTATTTTTATATTATATTATATTACATGTGTATAATGTTATGTTTTATATATTCTACTATATTTTATAACAGTTTATTAATCATTTATATCTTATATTATTGCTTCATAGATTATGGTTATATTAAATATTTTATTAATACTAGTAACTTATACATACATAGTATCTTATGCTTAACAAGGAAAGGACACAGGACAATCTTGTCAGGTTGGTAGGATAGGTGATATCCCCATTTTATAGATGTGGAAGCTAAGGTTCAGACAGATGAAGTAACTCACTCATGGTTGCACACCTAATAAGTATAGAATGTAAGCTCCTGGAAGATGCGAACTATTTTGTTTGAGGCTTGGTAATCTCAGCTCCTGACAGTGCCTGGTCCATACTAGGCTGCTTGTCCGAGATGTAATGGGGATTCTTTTTCTTTTCCATAGGATCGGCCAAATAGCAACTGAAATACCTTTCAACTTAGAAATTCTGTGATTCTATGACTCGTCAAAACTTGACTAAGCTCCATTTCTGATGAATCATGGGCAAAAGATGCTGTCAGAAAG